GGTCCCCGGTGTCAGAGAGATTGGGCACCACTGGTATACCCTTTTCTCTCCAATGCAAAAGCTGAGAATTGCCGAAGGAAGCTATATCAGAATGTTATAATTTCTCTTTAAATGTCAGGACTATGTTTATTTCTGAGATGAAAGCCTGAACCTTCCCAAACTGAAATGTTTACAACACAAAAACTTCTTAAGCATTTGATGGTTATTTCAACTTTGAGTTAAAGATTACTGCCTCATGAAGCAGTCTCACATATTCTTTCATAAAAATTGCCAGTGTGTTTCCACCCATAGTTGGACTATCAAGTAAAGTCTCTGCAAATATAGTCCCAAAGGTCACTCCAATGACAAGCCACTGCAGTTTGTCTAGCCGATGATTCTGCTTTTCCGAAAAAAAATCCAATGGTACTTACTTTAAGGCCTTGGAGAAGAGAGTGTCCGGCAGCCTAGTGAGTACATTATGCTGAATATCCAACACCTCCAGGGGGATGTGCTCCACCAGGGCGGGGAGGCTCTGCACCTGATTGTGTCCCACCATCAGTTTCCTAAGGCTCAAGCTACTCAGAATTCTGAGAGGGAACAGAACAAGGAAACAAGTAAACTTACTTAAATATTTCTGAGTCCGACCTAGGCTATTTAATTGAAATCAGTAAGCTAATAGAAACATATTCTTCTAGACTGTATAATCACCGGCAAGTGCTTGAGCCAAGAAAGCAACCACAACCATCTGTTTACCCACCACCCACCAGGAAGTCGTTAAGGTCATTGTGAGAAAAGGTGAATTAGTGACATCAAACAGCACAGAGAGCTAAACTAAAAAAGCAATTTCTAGAATAAATTTAGATTTCAGGGCTAAACAGCACCAAAAATGTAGTGTATGTATTACTATTAATATAATAAACTCACAACATTTCATTACAATAAAAACTATTATTTATTGAGTGCTTAAAATGTGCTAAGCCACGTACAATAAAGTTCAGAAAGGTTAAGTGACCTTGATTTGCCAAAGATCTCACATTGAATAGTAAATGACACAGTCTGGATTTGAACTAAGGTCTGACTCCAAAGGTTGTTTTCATATCTACTATGCTACAAAGCCTCTAGAGTTTAATTTTAAAGACTCCATTAGGTAATAACTACACATTTTATATCTCAGTGCCTTTGAATATCATTTCCCACCCCACCCCACCCCGGCCTCAACCACCACTGTTTCCCCCTCCACTTGGAGAAATCCCACCATCTGGTAAAAGTCAATTCAAATGCCATCTTTTCCATGAAACATTCTCTAATTCTCAAAGTACTTCTGAATTTCTAAAACATCTAATTTATACAGTGTAGTGATTAAGACTGAAGGCTCTGGAGTAAAAATGACTACATCCAAATGCCAGCTCCCATCACTTCCTAGTTAAGAACAACCTTGGGCAAGTTACCTAACAGCTCTAAGCCTTAGTTTCCTTTTGTTTTTTTTTTTTTTTGAGACAGTGCCTTGCTCTGTTGCCTGAGCTGGAGTGCACTGAACTCCTGGGCTCAAGCAATCCTCCCACCTCCGCCTCCCAAAGTGCTAGGATTACAGATGTGGGCCACCATGCCTGGCCTAGGATGACAGCACCTATATACTAAAGTTTTTAAAAGATTAGGTAAGATAATAAAAGTGAAATTCTTAGGACATTGCCCAGCTCACAATAACTCATCCTATAAAAATTAATTATTACCACCAACCTATGCCAGCACCTCTTGGAACATTTTACCACAGTTATCTGTGTATATGCGACACTATCCTCTTATTAAATTCCTTGCAGTCCAGGACCATGCGTTAGCCATTACTATATTCCTGACGGCATATCACACTGCCTCAGACTCTGCAGGCATCTATATTCACTGAACAAATGAAAGACAATACAAATCTAGAAAAATAATTAAATACATATACATACATATGTATTCACACACACATACCTCATAGGAACCTCTGTGAGAAGATTATAGCTCATATCTAATATTTCTATCTTCTTTGAGTCACAGGCCCAGTCAGGAACACATTCTAGCAGGTTTCTGCAGAAAACACATAATTGAAAGGCATCATTTAAGATGACAAGTGGGACTCATTTCACTAGACTGTAATGTCTCTGTTAACCAGCCTGTGAGCCCCTGTGAGGGCAGGGACATTATCTCCGGGGCATCCTGTGGTATATTAGCTGGAACATAGTAGGTGCTCAGTGAATGCTGTTGTATTATAAGAGTGGGCAGTCTATGTCCATACCATCCTGAACGCGCCCAATCTCGTCTGCTCTTGGAAGCTAAGCAGGGTCGGGCCTGGTTAGTACTTGGATGGGAGAAGGATGGGCAGAGACAAGTACATGAATATGTATAATATTGGATCAATTATGCTATATGCCCAAAAAAGTACAAAGGCTTTCGGCAGTAGGAAAGCACACATATGGCGGGATGGGTTGAGGGCGAGAAGAGGAAAGACTTACTGGAAGTGGCATTTTAAACAAAATTTTGAAGACGAGGAGGAGTTTCACAAGGAATGGCTGGGGGAGACGAGAAGCAGATTCCAGGGAAAATGAACAGAATGAATAAAAGTGACGAAGTAGGGACAAAAGATAACTAGTGGGTGAAAAAGTTTCAAACCACTCAGAATTTGAGCTCAAATATTTAGAAGAGCGCTAAGCAGAAACTTAGTAAAAGGAATTTTATCTTCAGATGTGACTTAGCTTCTCTAGGCTCAAGGTATCCACTGATTAATCAAAGGATAAAAGGAGGCAGGATGAAGAAAGCGCTACCTGAGAGAAACACAGATACTGCTATGTTAGCCTAGGGAAGGAAACAGCCTGCAATGGACAAAGGCAACCTCCCTAAGAAATACGACATCTGGGTTAGAATTTGAAGAATACTGTACAGGGACCTGAGGTGAGGAGCATGTTCCAAGCACAGGGTGGTAACATGAACTAGAACACAGAAACAAGAAAGACCATGGTGCGATATGTATGGGGTACAGGCAGCTGGGGATGCCGCAGCAGCTGAGGAAGAGCTGGGCTGTCGAGCTGGGCGCTGCTGACACTTAAGCGCAACTGAAATCACTGCAGTGAACGAGGTCATGGCCATTTACCATGGAGAGAAGCCTGGGGATATTTGACCTTTAAAGGGCTAGCTGAGGAGGAGGAGTATGCAAAAGGGACAGCAGGAATGGCTAGAAGGGCATGAGGAAAATCAGATCATATTAGCCAGCCAAGGAAATAGCATGTTTGAAGAAAAGAGAGCAAGGTTAACTGTGTCACCACAGAGAAGTTCCAGTAAGAGAAGGTGTAAACCACGCTGTTGGTGGGATCAGCCAATGGGAACTGAGGAAACCAATTTAACAAATGCAAATAATTCTTGAGAAATTTGGACAAAAAGGGGATGAACCGGATTAGACAGTAGCTAGAGGAGCTGTGAGGTCAAGGGAACTTTGTTTTGACAGAAGAGATATCAGTGTGTGTACAGACTGAGATAAAGGAAGACACTGAACAAACCTGAGAGAGGAGGAGGAGGAGGGCTGACTGAGCAGACAGAGCAGTGGGAGCAGAGGGGCCACAGGCACAGACAGCTGGACCGGCCTTCTACAGAGCAGAGAAGCTGAGGATGAATGAGTCTACAGAAACTCAAGCAAGGTGGTAGGAAGCTGAGGGAAATCACCCACAATGGCCTCTGTTTTCTCAATCAAGGAGGAAGCTAAGCTCCAGCCTGGAGGAGACAGGGTGGGGGTAGGGAAGCAGAGCAATTTGGAACACATGCTGAGGATACTGGAAGGAGCTGGCAAGAGAAAGGGCCAATAAACTCCAGAAGAGGCTAGATATTATGAATTTGTAGTGATGTCCATCTGGATGTGATTTTCTTCAGCAATCATCAAGCTCAGTAGAAAAGGTAAAATCTTAGTATTTATCCATGTTGGGGTTTTGCTGGGAAGATAAGACAGAAAGAAATGGCTAAAAGGGAATCTAAAACAATACTTTAATAATAAAGTAACAACAACAAGAACAAAAAGAAACCTGGCTATAACAGCTAATATTTCTGCAGAGAATATTGCACGTCAGACACTATACTATGTATTTTGCATTGATTTTCTCATTTCATCTTCACAACAACCCTGGCCACAGAGGACCCTGCTCTGGGCATTCTATAGTCACAGCACATATACTGTTGCCCCCTAACTGCTTGTTAGATTCATGATCTCACCACTAGACTGTAAAACCCAACCACTGAATCCAGAATGCCTAACACAGGGGTTAAAAGTAAATGAATAAAAGAAAAGCAAACCTCATTTATGTTTGCTCCTGGCCACCAACAGAAGTAATGAAGTCCTGAATATAATTAATGCCTCTCCAAAAATCAGACCAACATGAATCACTACAGTATCAAAAAAGTAGAATCATTTTTTTAAAGCCACTAACTAAAAATCAAGAATTAATCTGATCTCGGTCAACATGAAGGAAATGATTGCAATGAAGATAACAGGTCTTCTTTGTTTGCATCTCACCCTAAATCCGCAGTCTTTAAAGACTGAGTAGTTCATAGGTACCTCTCCATTTCAAGAGGATCCTTCCTTTAACTATTAATATACACTATGGCTATTAAACCTATTCTTCCACTTATCCTTTCTCTCGGTTACCCAAACATTTCAATGTTTAGATTTCTTTGTACCTCAAAACTGCCAAAGTACCTGCATGTATCTCATAAATAAGAATCAAACAAGCATCAACCTCAAGAGAGACACTCACCGGGAGAGTTCTAGGGAAGTGAGTAGACTGGGTACTGGATAGACATTCACTGCTGTCAGCCCTAATCAGAAAACAAAGAGGTGTTAGTGGCATCGTCTAAAGAAGAAAATAACTGAGAGAAAACAAGGGAAAAGGAGCTTAGTGAAATCACCAAAGAAAAAACTGACGTGCTCTACTGAGATGAACTAAAGATAAAAACCACTCGGTAACTCACTCTGACTGCTTCATCCCAATTTGCTTTGAAAAACAAATGCAACGGCTAACTGAAGGATCCTGTGTATTGACTGGATTTACACTACATCAGCCAGTTGTTAAATGTTAAAGTAACTACTTAGTTTTCCAACTTGAAAAAATTAATAATTGGATTTTTACTGGCAATATTTTAACTTTTAATTAAAATACAACATAAATACAGAAAAGTATGCTGGGCACCATGGTTCACGCCCATAATCTTAGCACTCTGGGAGGCTGAGGCAGGAGGATCGCTTGAACTCAGGAGTTTGAGACCAGCTTGAGCAAGAGTGAGACCTCGTCTCCACTAAAAATAGGAAAAAAAAAAGTAGCTGGGCAACAAAAATAGAGAAAAAAATTAGCCAGGCATGGTGGTGTGCACCTGTAGTCCCAGCTACTTGGGAGGCTGAGGCAGGAGGATTGCTTGAGCCCAGGAGTTTGAGGTTGCTATGAGCTAGGCTGACGCCACGGCACTCTAGCCCGGACAACACAGCAAGACCCTGTCTAAAAAAAAAAAAAAAAAAAAATACAGAAAAGTAAAACTATTCAGTGAATTTTCACAAACTGAACATACTAGGAACCAATACTGAGATCAAGAAACAACATCATCAGCTCCCCAAACTTCCCCTTGTCTCCTTTTCCAGTCACTACCCTGCAAGGGCAACACTATCCTCACTCCAAATACCACAGACTCATTTTGCCTATTTAAATAAGTATACACATAAAACATGTAATTTTTTTGTCTGGCTTCATTCACTCCACAATATGCTTGCAGGATTTGTTCATATTGTTGCATATGGTTATAGTTCATTCATTCTCATGCCTGTATAAAATTCTTTTATGTGAATATACCGCAATTTATTTACCCCCATTTTAGAGTTAACAGGCATTTAAGTCTTTCCCAGGTTGAGGTTACTACGAACAGCATTTCTATGAACATATTTATCCATGTCTTTTGCAGACTAATACAAGCACTTATGTTGAGTATAACCCTAGGAGAACTGCTGAGTACAGGGTATGTTTATGTTTACCTTTAGTAGATACTACTGAATAATTTTCCAAAGTGGCTGTACCAATTTATACTCCAACAGCTGCCAATGGTATTTTCAGTCTTTTCCATTATAGTCATTCTGGGAGGTGTGTAGTGGTGCCACACAGGAGTTCCAATTTGCATATCCCTGAAGACTAGTAGAGTGCCTTTCCCCGTATTAACTGATCATTTGGATAACCTCTTTTGTGAAGCTGAGTTCTTTACTTTGAGGCAGAACTGCAAGTGTTTATGAGAATTCTTCCAAGTTGAAGAATTTAAGGATGCTGTGAAGAGAGTAGCTAAACTCAAGCAAGCCCTATTCAGCACATTGCTATCATAGAATCTTGGTGACTAAGGAGGAATGCATGTATGTCAATGAGGTCTTTTCCAGTAGGGCCGGGCATTCAGACTCTCTAGACACATTAAGGACAGAGAAGGGCCTGGTAACAAACCTCTTCATGGCAAGGACTTACTACCACATCGCAGCATCTATAAGCAACGCAAGTCAACACTCATCAGTTTTAACACTCTTCTGAACAAGCAATTAATCTAAGCTACTATTTGAAGCTTAGATTAATTGCTAATTGATAAAAGGCAATGCAAACACGACAAGTCTTTAACTTTCTTTTATCCTAATAATATAGTTTACAGAAAAGTAAACAGAATAAAACAATAAATACTTTCACCTATCATCTAGCTTTTACGCAAATCTTCATTCTATCTTACGTGCTTTAGACTTTTTTTTTAAGAAGTAAAATACTACAAATACCAAGAGGTAAACATCATCCTGAATATGGTTTTTATCATTCCCATGGATTCTTCCATATTGTTATGCATACTTACAGCTAAGAAAATATTTCTGTGTATTCTAAATTTGAATATGATTATCATAGCATATATACAATGATGCACTTTCTTGCTCAAAAAGTGTTTCCGAGAGTTACCCATATTAATACACAAAGCTTTACTACATTCATTCCCACTGCTGTGTAATATTATATTGTGTAAATATATCACTAATGATTTATATATTTTCCTATTAATAGTCCTATTTCTTCACTTGCACAAACAATGCTCTGATAAACATTCTTGTACACATCTTGTGCACATGTAAGGTGTCTCTGGGATGTATCCAAGCAGGGAACTGCCAGAATGTGGTATTTGAGTCCTCCGCTTCACTAACACAGGCACGCTGATCTCTGAGATGGTTCTATGTCTCTCACTGGGCAGTGGACGAGTGCTCAGGAAGGTCCTTCTCTTCACCTTTGGTAACATTTAGCATTATACATAGATATATATTTTTTTAATTTGATAAGTACAAAATGTTACTTAAGTTTGCATTTTTCTGACAAAATATGAACATCTTTTCCTTTCTACCTTTAAACACAGAAGAAGTAATTAAACAATGGCCTCTGTGCGCCCACAAACTTACTAAAACTAAATACTTCTTCAGCTGAGAAAAAAAAATTGGTCTCAATAAACATGAGGCCCTTTACACTGAAAAATATTCTTGGAGCAAATCCTCATTGAAATGACGGGGCTTAACTAGCACTGAGGCAGCACAAGGTTTTAGGCCAGGCATCGGCAAACTTTTTCTGTAAAAGGCTAAATAATAGATATTTTAGGCTATGCAGACCATAATACAGTCTCTCTTACTACTACTCAATTCTTCCACTGTAGCATGAAATCAGTAATGTGAAAACAATATGTAAACAAATCAGTGCCGTCACATTCCAATAAAACTTTATTTATGAACATAGAAACCTGAATTTCATATAATTTTCACATACCACAAAATTATTCTTCTTTGATTTTTTTTTTTACCCAACCATTAAAAAACCATTTCTTATGGGCCATACAAAAAGAGATGGTAGGCCTAATTCAGTCCCAGGGCCCATCCCTGTTTCAGATATTGATACTCTGTTTTGAATATGCTTGCCCACCTCCGCACACCTTTTTATTTTGAGGAGAAGGAAAGAGGAGTTTATTCATTTGCCGGCAAATGAGGAGGCTGGCAGACTCCCATCTCTAAGTACCAATGTCCCCCACATACCCCATTATTTTGCGAAATGCCTCTTATTACGCTGAGTAAATCTCAAAGTATCCATGTTCATGCACGTGACAACCACTTAAGTGTTGACACCAAAGTGAAAAGATAAAGTTAGCCCTCAGTGAACTACAAACTCCATCTGCACAGTGGCTGAGAAGCACCACGGATGTCATTGTTCCTAGAAAGCTCCGACTAGAGCTGAAAGAAAAAAGAGGAGGCTGGACAGAGAACTCACTGTTGGAACTGGCGTAGAGAGTGCGCAGGGAGAAGCCGCTGAGGGTCAGCTCTCTCAGCTGGTTCCGCTCGCAGTGCAGCTGCTCCAACCCACACAGGGAGCTGAGATCCAAGTCGGTCAGCTGATTGTCCCGGAGATCCATGTGGGTGATGTATTTATTTCCCTCTAGATTTTCAATAACCATGGTTTTCAAATGGTTCATCCTTAATAGTCAGAAACAAGGAAATAACCAGAAATAAATTCCATTAAATGTGCTTACCAAAAGAAAAATAGGACAGGTATGATCCCCTTCTCCATTTCCTAAACAATTTAAGGACTTCTTACTTACCTCATTTCGCAAGGTACTATACAAATAACCACAGACAGTTTATAAACAAAGAACTCAAGGTACAGCTAAGTTAAACAATCCAGACTAGCAAATGCATATGCAAATTAAAGAAAGAGAAGGAAAAAGGCGGCCATGTCCACAAACAGTTAAAACTTAATAAGATTAGGTAGGGACTAAAGAGTAGGACAAAGGAACAAGAAGATAAACTTAACCTTTTGGGTTAGTGAGTAGCAAAGCAGTCATAAGAGTACCATGTCAAGAGTCTGAGGAGCGGGGAGAGGGGGCAAGGGCAACATACGTAACCTAAACATCTGTACCCCCATAATATGCTGAAATAAAAATAAATAAATAAATAAAGAGTCTGAGGAGCAGCCACACTTCCTCCTGTTGCTATGCCTATTCCACCTCTAGTGCTAAGATTCACATAACATTAATTAGTGGAGAAGAAAATAATCTGTATGTATATGGGATAATGCAATGGCAAATTACAGAAAATGACTTTTTGGTTCTTTCTACACAAGTGTATGATTTAATGCATGTAGGCCTGTTCTCATTTTTCTGTATTTCAATAAATCTCTCTCTTACTATGTCTTTATAAGGTACATCAGTGGCTTACTGTAAATGACAGAACATCCAATAAGTGTCTTCCTTTGGGAAAAGATTATGATCAGAAAATAAAACTCATAAAAATTTCTTAGTAGTGAAACCTTTAACATTTTAATTATAACACAGTGGGTATCAAGAAGAAACCCAATGACTCAACAGAGAAATGGTTAAGTTTATGGAAAACAACAAACTACTAATATGTATATAAAAGGATTCTCAATCTCACTCCTGAGTAAATAAACGTTGATTAAAACAATGAAATACTATTTTCCACCTACTAGACGGACACTAAGGAAAAATACTGCTAAAATCCAACATTAATAAGGATGTGAGGAAATGTGAACGCTCATAAAATGCTGCTGGGAGGGTAAGTCAGAATGACCTTGTCCAAGGCAATGAGATGGTCTCTACCATGTGGTGCACCTACCTGATCCTTCATCTCTCTGCTACTGAGCGGCAAATGAAGTTGTATTACAGCTTTGAAAATATCTATTTCTACACTATTCTAAAATCCTAACGTTTTAAAAGAAGTCTTTGTAAGACATAAAGGCCCATCAGAGTGAACCTGAAGGAAGAGATGGTGAAGAATGGCCTTACCTCAAATCTACGTGCTTGACATGGTTCATCCTGCTCAGCACCCCTAGGTTGAGGACTTCCAGGCAATTTCCTGCCATAACCACTTTATCTAACATAGTGAGCTTCTCATAAACCTCAGGAATTTGACTAAAGTCGTTGAAAGAAATTCCCAGGGAGGAAAGCTGTTGTAGATTTCCCAATTCTTCAGGTAAAGTAGTCAGAGAGTTGCCATCAAGACAGAGAGTTTGAAGACTGTTGGAACAAAACAAAACTACTTTATGAAAGGTCTCATTGGAATGGATAGAACTAGAGTTATGGATTCTGACTTATGTCACTAATTTATTACTAATCCAAAAATGATAAAATGTCTTAACTCTCCATCTGTAGATACTTAATAAATAACCTACACATAACTTGCATGGATGGTCCCTCTTAAAGAGAATCAGAACCTCTGCTGTTGAAGCTGAAGGATCAGTCAATGCAGTAGGCACACAGATCTCTGATGGCAAAAACTGTTGCTGACTAGAATCCTAATAATTACGTGATTTATATCACTATAAGAGCTCATGGTACTACTTTCATTCCAAATGCCAGAGAAGTTTCTTATTCTGCAAGGGAAAAGAGGAATCTAGTAGAAGTCAGATACTTACTTCAGCAGATTGCCAATCTGACTCGGCAGGTCGTGAAATCCATTGCAGGAAAGGTTGAGCTCAGTCAGGGTAGAGATCTCACACAACAACACAGGAAACGACCCAAGTTTATTATGGGACAAGTTCAGGCCCTTCAGCTGAGAAAATCTAAAGAGCAAAGGCAAAAGTTTATATTGCATTTCAATAAAATCTGTTACTACATCTTTACGAGAGACATCAATGCTTTTGATGACCTATGTTAAATGATCTATGTCATCTATTATTTATTTTTTAGAGACAAGGTCTGTTGCCCAGGCTGGAGTACAGTGGCACAATCATTAACTTGCTGCAGCCCAGAACTCCTGGGCTCAAGCGATCCTTCCATCCCAGCCTCCCAAGTAGCTGGGACTATAGGCACGAGCCACCATGCCTAGCTAATTTTCTATTTTTTGTAGAGATGGGGTCTTGCTATGTTACCCAGGCTGGTCTTTTTTTAAAATCCCATCATAAGCAACTTCTTTTTTCATAGTGAAATTATGTTGGCTCGAACTGTCACTTGAAACAAATGGACGAGGTGGAGCTTGAAAATATGAACATGACATGGCATTTTACTGACATGTGATCCAATATACAACATGAAATAGTAATTTTTACTGCTTCTATTTTGTTTGTAAGTAAAAGTATCTATATTGTCTTATCCAGAGATAGCATTGTTATAAAATGGATTCATAAGATTAACTCTGGTAATTCTACTTCCAGCTGATTTGTTATTCTTTATAGAGATAGGATCTTGCTATGTTGCCCAGGCTGGTCTCGAACTCCTCAGCCTCCAAAAGTGCTGGGATTACAGGCATGAGCCACAGTGCCTGGCCTTAAATGATCTATTTTAAATGTTTATCATAGAATGTATTCCAAAAACATTTACTGAGCACTCACTATGTGCCAAACACTGTGTGGGCACAGGTGCAAGATGGTGAGGCTAAGGTACTGTTCTCCATGACGGTGGTCTATATCACCTGTTTCTAGACTGAAATCCTTGCTACTTCATTCTAATGCTCCTCTTCCAAATTCTCAATTTTGATTGCCAGATGACTTGGCCTTGATTACTGATTATTCCTTTGGCTTGGTGCCTTGACTTCAGAATTTATGATCCAGCCCTCAGACTGGTTTAATCCTATTTTCATAGCAACTCAGACAGAAATGCTAGAAACCAACTTCCCTAAATTATAGCTTGTTTATACTTTCACATGCCAGTATTATTAAAATAACTATCTCATTACTAACTAGAGGCTTATACTTGAAAAACTTTCTAAAACATAGTATGAGATAAAAATCATAATTTTTCTGGAAATTACTCCAGAATCATGAGTTATTAAGGTAGTAAGATATGTCATTTTAATGTATATTATCTTTTTAATCACCACATAATTTAACTCACTTTGAATGTTTTAATTTCTAATTTCTCCCTTCCCCACCAGAAGCCCAGACAATTACTCACGCCATGTGCTTATTCATTGCTTTCCATTTTTTGAGTAGAGGAGTGAGGTGGGATGGATAGAAGGTAGGAATGGGAAATATATTTTAACAAAGGAGATGGAAAAATATGTAGGGCACAGTGCGGTAGGCATAAATGGTTCCTTTATTAGAAGAGAGAAGTTTCCTAGCTGA